AATTATTTTTTGTTTGCTTGTTTGGTTCTGACACAGGGGAAAAAAATTGGGGGTTGCTATTTCAACTAGTCCAAGATACTTTCTCTTCTCTTTGGCAGGAAGGGAAAACACATTTTGTTATTGGAACTATTGCCAGCCTTCACTTTTCCCTACAGACTTGATGCAGTTTTTAATACTATGAACATTTTTTTCAACTTTCATTTTAAGTTCCGGAGTACATGTGCAGGATGTACAGGTTTGTTACATAGGTAAACATGTGCCATGGTGGTTTGCTGCACAGATCAACCCATCACCTAGGTATTAAACCCAGTCTATGTTAGCTATTCTTCCTGGCGCTCTCCTTCTCCCTGCACCCTGGACAGGCCCCAGTGTGTATTGTTCCCCACAGTGTGTCTATGTGTTCTCATCATTCAGCTCCCACTTATAAGTGAGAACATGCGGTGTTTGTCTTTCTGTTCCACCGTTAGTTTGCTGAGGATAATGGCTTTCAGCTAGATCCATGTCCCTGTAAAGGACATGATCTTGTTCCTTTTTATGGCTGCATAGTATTCCATAGTGTATATGTACCACATTTGCTTTATCCAGTCTACCATTGATGGGCATTTAGGCTGATTCCATGTCTTTGCTATTGTGAATAGTGCTGCAGTGAACGTGCATGTGCATGCATCTTTATAACTGAATGATTTATATTACTTTGGGTATAAACCCAGTAATGGGATTCCTGGGTCAAATGGTAGTTCTGCTTCGAGGTTTTTGAACATTTTGCAACCTCAATGTCTTAGTGGTACTATCCTCTCTCCCTGAAGATGTCCGTGATGCACTTCTTAGTCCTCTGATCCCTTCTGGCATTTTATCTGTAGTGTACCCTGTTACAATCATTCAACAGCTCATGTGGAATGTCTTCTACCTGCCAAACATATTAATAGATGTGGCTTGCACTCTAATGGGCCTATAGAATGGACATCTAAACAAATGATAACAATAATAAAAACATTCTATATTACCTTTTGATATAAATAGTTATTTATGCAGATGGCTCTCAAAAGCAAGCTCTTTGAATGACATTTTTTTGCAGCCCAGCTCCATACTTTAAAATATTAGGTACTTGATTACAATGCACCAAAATAATGTAACTGCCCATTAGGCTGATTGGACTCTTTCTAGAAATTTGTTAATGAAAATTCTTAGCTACCACCTCATTCCTGAAATTTCTTTGACACCAATGGTGAGGAACAAATCCTCAGTTCGGGGGCTGACCAATACCCAATGCCTTTGTGGTACCTGTCCTCAGATTCTGCTTCTGACAGTAAGTGGGCTCCCCAGGGGAAAAATCATCTTCACAACCGAGACTAACACCCCTCACCTATACTCCAGTATTTTTAACAAGGTCTTCAGGATTCCTTGTTGAAGAAAAAAATTAATAATCTATATTGTTCTCAACAAAAGTTTAATTTGAAGGTTATCTGATGCTGGCAAGGTTACAGGGAACGTAAATGCTTATACCCTGTTAGTTGGAATGTAAATTTGTTCAGCCTCTGTGCAAAGCAGTGTGGCAATTCCTCAAAGTATTGAAATCAGAATTACCATTCAACCCAGCAGTCCCATTACTGGGCATATACCCAAAGGAATATAAGTCATTCTACCATAAACACACATGCACGTGTACATTTACTGCACCACTGTTCACAATAGCAAAGACTTGGAATCAACCTAAATACCCATCAATAGCAGACTGGATAAAGAAAATGTGGTACACACGTGTTCTCACTCATAGGTGGAAACTGAACAATGAGAACACTTGGACACAGGAAGGAGAACATCACACACCGGGGCCAGTTGTGGGGTGGGGGAAGGGGGGACGGATAGCATTAGGAGATATACCTAATGTAAATGACGAGTTAATGGGTGCAGCACACCAACATGGCTCATGTATACATATGTAACAAACCTGCACGTTGTGCACATGTACCCTAGAACATAAAGTAAAATTTAAAAAAAGAAAATGTGGCACATACACCATGAAATACTATGCAGCCATAAAAAAGAATGAGATCATGTCCTTTGCAGCAACATAGATGGAGACAGAGGCCATTATCCTACGTAAACTAACGGCAGGAACAGAAAACCAAGTACCACATGCCCTCATTTATAAGCGAAAGTTAAAAAACAAGAACACATGTTGACAAAGAGGGGAACTACAGACACTGGAGCTTTCTCAAAGGTGAAGGGTGGGAGGAGGGAGAAGACAAGGAAAAAATACCTTAGTTATGCTTAGTATATGGGTCATAAAATAATCTGTATATCAAACTCCCATGATATACATTTACCTGTATAACAAGCCTCCCCACATGCCCCTGAACCTTAAATAAAAGGAAAAAAAAAGGTCATCTGGAATATACACATTTATCATATTAATTTAAGAAAAATTCCAACAGGTAAGAATTTTTAGGCATCACTAACAAAGAGACATCATAATTATAACAATAATAATTCAAGAAGCTTCTGAATTCTTACTGTGTATTGACACTGTGAATTTCTGCAAGTGTCAGCTCAGTCATTTTTCACATGCCTCTAGTAGGCAGGCATTGTTATACCCATTTTGCAGATAAGCCAGCTGAGGCTTGCCTAGTTTCTGGGTGAATCCTGTCAGAGATCTCTTTTCCTTTAAGAAGAATTCTTTTCCAGAAAGAGTTTTAATGCCCATTTCAAAGAGAGGGCTGGCGTCCCCACCAGTTCTCCAAACTGTCTGAAGGTTGAAGTGGATATGGATTAGGGTTAAACTGTGATAAGATTCAAGATCTGCTAGCCCAAAATATTAAGCGGGAAAGCCACTCTCGCCTTCTCCTCACTGCTCTTCCTTGAGGCAAACCATAAAACCTAGAAAGTTCACTCCCCTCACACTTCTCCCCGGAAGTAGCTCATAAGATCCTCATGTGAGCAGTACCCTTCCCACACCCAGAGGAAAGAAACTGAACACAGACAGTCCAAGAAGGATCTGAACAAATAGCCCTTGCTAAGTTCCCCCAGTGTATTACCATTATATCATACTTATTTGTCCTCGAATCGTATTTCACCGTGACTGTCCACTCTTCATCAAACCTAAGTATAAAAATACGCAAGCTTATCTACTCTTTGGATCTTCGTTTATAAAGGCTCCCATGTCACCTAAAACTTATGTTACAAAAATGTGTATGCTTTTCTCTTGTTAGTCTGTCTTTTGTTACAGGGACCTGAGCCACGCCTCCCGTGGTGGGTCTGGAAAGAGATCTTTTCCTCCCCCAGAGCTGCAACATTCACTAAATGTCTACACAGCATCTGGCCTTTTTGTTTGTTTGTTTTGATTGCTGTTTCTAACCCCTATCAACTTCTTTTTTTTTTTTTTTTTTTTTTTTTTTTTTGAGACGGAGTCTCGCTCTGTCGCCCAGGCTGGAGTGCAGTGGCGCGATCTCGGCTCACTGCAAGCTCCGCCTCCCAGGTTCACGCCATTCTCCTGCCTCAGCCTCCCGAGTAGCTGGGACTACAGGCGCCCACAACCGCGCCCGGCTAATTTTTTGTATTTTTAGTAGAGACGGGGTTTCACCGTGGTCTCGATCTCCTGACCTTGTGATCCGCCCACCTCAGCCTCCCAAAGTGCTGGGATTACAGGCGTGAGCCACCGCGCCCGGCACCCCTATCAACTTCTAAACAACAAAGTGGTCATCTGGGACTTCACACTTATTTATTCAATGGAGTGGCCTCTATGGACATTATATACTTTTTCCATTTCCTACAATTCACTAGGAAGCTGCTGCTCAGTTTAAAAAAAAGAAAAAGTAGTAGCCACTGTCCTCAAGGGTCTTAGATATCTAAAAAGCCAAGGTGGTGAGAAATGAGAGTTGAAATCTGTTTCTTTCTCACACATTGGAGGTAAATAATGGCAGTATAGGTTTGTTGTTTATAGATCTTTGCAAAATTGTTCATTTTTACAGCCTCGTTTTTCACTTAAACTTTTTTATGTGGTCATTCAGTATCCAGAATAAACACAATACATTGTCTGAAAAATATGTTCATGTGAAGAGCCTATTATCACCCTTAGTGAAATACCACAAAATAAAATTAATGAAAAGAACATCTTTTAACACAAGACCTAAAGGAAAATGAGGAAAGAAAGTACACTCCTATTTTAAAGAAAAATTATTTTCTTCTTAAATATCACTTGATTCTCATATTTTTTAAAGAAATTGATGTTAATAGTATAAAAGGCAATTCTAAATTTGTGAACAGTCTGTGCCCTGCCTAGCATCCAAGCCATCTGCATGAGATGAGCCCCCCTTCTTCATTTTCTCTTGGGCTGGAGTTCCCTGGGAGGCACAATCTGTCAAGTCTGACATCCCAAAGAATCCCCTCCCTGTTTCTCCAGGTAACTTGATGCTCTCTGAACCACCCCTAACACTTCCCACCACCCCTGTTTTAATCCCTGAATCCAGGATCGCTTTCTAATCGTACCCATCGCTTCCTTTCCTAGTACCGTCTCCTCTACAATTCCTTTGCATGGTAAACACACTCCCCTATATCCATCATATACTTCCTGAACAGTCCCACCAACAATCTTCTGACCTACAATCTGGTTCTCACCTCAAATCAGTGACCCTCACTTCCTCCACTCATGCACGTGCATTACTTACAACGTACACACCAGTGATCTCTCAGCTTGCACAATCTGAAAAGGGGGAAAATTATACCAAGAAGCCGTAAACTATGTTCTTGATATATAAAAATGGGCTTTCCATTTTACACAGGATTTAGGGTGTCTACCTATGGCCCATACAATGCTTGGCACATAATGGGTGATTACTGGGAATTTGCTGAATGAATGAATGAATGTAGGCATGCATTAAATCCTTTATGTTTATTACACAAAGTGTTTTATCTAAAGTGACATGAACAAAGATAGAAGGTGGAGATAGATAGGAAGAGTGGAGAAGCTGAGTAAAAAGAAGAGAGGTAGACAGGCTACTTACCACATAAAGGTTTTCGTGGAAATACAGCCCCACGTCATAAAAGTTTCCGTTGTGCCTGACGGAGCGTGTTCTGGTCTTCAGTTGCTCCATTTGCCGCCACTGCAAGACACAGCCTCCCAGTCGACCAAGCAGGGACACTTTGAGGACATAAGAGCCTGGAGGAGCCTTGTCTTTAAATCCCCTCAGGCATCTGATCCAGATTTGCAGAGGCTGAGGTGGTTGAGGCTGCTCATTCTCCACAAAAGGTGGGGTTCTTGAATTACGCAGGAACTGGGTGAAACCACACAATTAGCAACAATGGGCTTCTCAGGGGGGAAAAAGGTAGACAATTATTTTTATCCAACCTGTAATTGTCAGGTATTAGCCATGATAACAGATGAGGACACAAGATATATAATTAGGGGGTCAAAAGGCAAACCTGCCATTAATGGGAGGGAAAGTTTAGTCATTTTTTCAGCATGGTATGTTAATGATCTGTGACATCAGAAACCAGTCATTTATTATAGTAAGATAGAATTAACAGGAAACCAACACTTCTACAAACCACACAACATGCCTTCTAAGATATCTAGGGTGGGTGAACATGGGCAGTAAGCTTCAAATTTGGAGTTTGAAAGGTGACAGTCCTGACTTTAACACGAACCACTGACCATAATGCCAGGTTGATAAGCAGAGTGCAAAACAGGTCAGACTAACACCTCAGCTGATGTGATACTTCCAGAGTCTCAACAAGATGTTAACTTGCCTCAAAGGCTTCAAAGGAGAGTCAAAAATGGCAGGGGGGAAGGAGTGGTGGGATAGTATCTGTACGTGCTCTTTCCTGAAATTTAGCATGAATTGTGTGTGACTGAGAGACACGACTCAAGAATATTTTACAGGGCATTTGAATGTCATTTTTCACCTACAGCCGAGAGAAGCAGGCCATTTTCATTTTTAATAAGTGCTGAAAAGTTTGTATACACTGATAAGATTTTTAGTGGACTATTTTTTCAGAATAAACAAAAACTAAACTATGATTATTATTAATAATAACTCAAATGTAGTGAAGTCATGTTTTCTGTACTTAGAAGTCCCTAATATTTTTCGGGATTATCTGACTTCAAAGGATCCTGATATTTCGTACTTTAAGCAAAAATAATGTCCTTTTTGGAAGCAAGTTACTACCCTCTTGGCAACCCAAGTTAGTAGCACCACCGGTTAATCTGCAGCCAACAGTAAGCATTTTAAAACCCTGCCTAGACTTTATTTTGTGAGAGATAATATGTATTTCCATATAGATAGTATGCTTCTGGAATTAAATTACAGTTAAATAAACAGTGAAACTTGTTCAGCTTTCTTTGTTTTTTTTTTCACACAAATCATACTTAAAAACTAATCTGAATAACAATTATTTTTGGCTTAATTAGAAAATCTTAATTAACAATAAAGACTTAACCTTAATATTTTGGTTTCCAAAAATATTTTAAAAATTAACACCATGTGAATAAATAAGACAATCTTTTTAAACCTCAAGGCAGGATTACTGATGCAGGCAGAGTGAGTTATTAAACACATTCTAAATTAAACGCCTCCATGAATTTTATACTGAAATATATTGTGAGAGTTTTGCATGCCAAATATGACATTTTGTATTTCAGATTCATCTTCTGTAGTAATTTTGGAAATGTCATACAAACAAAGATTTTGTCATTTACCAGTGGAATTACTATGCATGGCCGCTTAGCCATCTCTTCGCTAGTTCTTGTGGTTGTTTCAAGTCAGCAAGCCATAAAAAATCTTTATCTCTCTGAAACACAGCAATTTGGAAGATAATCGAATGGTGACTAGGGGGCAGAAATGCCAGTCTGAGGAATTATACCACAATCTCTCTTGCATTTACAACCTTCCTCAAAGCTAGTGTCAGCCAAGTAGGGAAAGGAGATAGAAGATTCATCAAATCTCAAGCCTTGTCTCATTTGCATGGTGGCAGGCCTGCCTCATTGTCTAGTGAGACAGAGCCTGGCCTTACTGACAACCTGTTTTGAGGAATTTTAGTAGCTTTGTCGAGAGTTTTTGGCCATTCTATTTCAGCATTGAATTCTCTAATACATATATATATATATAGACCTGCTAAAGTTTCTCTAAAGAGTCCTACAGGAGAAAAAGCACAGCAGGCAGCAGCTGGGTCAATACAATTGATCTCATCATTTAACATTTTGCATCAGAAAAAAGTCAGTGGCAAGAGCCTCACCTTCCAGCGGGGTCCTGCTGCTCCCTTTGAGTCATTAGTTATTTCTGTGAGGGTACCAAGCTGGGCTGCACTGTCCTTTTTACCAATATTTAGGTCTGCAATGAATGGTTGACTTGGAAATCTGCAGCAGTTAAAAGAAAGAAGGCAGATAAAAGAAAGAGAAATTGACAATGGAGTGTAACAAAAAAGTTTGCCTTTAGACTTACAACACAGTTTGATGTTTTCCTTAAACATTTTGTCAGATTAACTAGAAAGTAGGTAAACATCACATTACAGGTGCTGCAGTTAATTCAAGTCAAGGAGGCGAGTGGCTTCTGAGGTGTGGCCCTACAGGAGGTGAGTGGCTTTTAAGAGATGTGGCCCTATAAAATATAAGACTCCCTGCATCGGCCGCTGATCTCCCAAGATGTCACTTGCTTCTGAAATCATCAGAAGATCCAGTATTTGATAAGACTTTTTGCCACTTCATTTCCTATCCTCTCTACATTCAACAGACTGTTAGCGAAACTTTGAGGAAAAAAAAAATCCATTATATAGATGATGAGCTGATATAACATAAAGTTTTTCTTTTCTTAATGCAGTGGTTAGAGATCGAGATCTATTTCGACTCTCGAAATGTTCCCTAGGCTTTTTTCCTCCTATTAACATTTACTGACTGTATCTTGAGGTTCTTCTTTATTGTTGACTCCTTTCTGTTGCTGTTGTCAGCTTCTCCCGTCCTGAGAGGGTTCTTCTGCCTTCCCGAATTCATTTGAATTAAGAAGGATCCGCATCTCACGTCTCCTGACTTAAGCTTAATTCCATCAGCAGGGCCATCTGTGACAACGACTGTACCCTCAGCAGAGGAATAGCCTTTTTGGGTCTTATTGCTGATTTAGTTGCCTGTGATACAAATGATTTCCCTTAATTTGGTTAGAGCTAACACTGACACAAGGGTTCATTAGGACACCCATTTGCTGGCAATTCAATTTCAAATTAAATACACTTTGTTGTACATTTTATTACTTTTAAACTACTGTATCTATTGTCTTTAATGGCCCTATTATATAGTTATGAAGGTAAACAGATTTCATTAGTAGACATCAAACATTTTATGTTAACCACAGTGAGATGATTTCCTCAGTTTCTTTCTTTGTTCCCTTAGCAAGAATTGTAAAGCACTTGGAAACTTTCTAAACACTTAATCTAAATAATTAGACACTAAATTCATGATTATAATCCTAAAGATAAAAAGAAAAAAACACAGTCCCTGGTTAGAATCTCAGTTCTTTGTAATTAAAGATTTTCTAAAAATACCTTCCTTAAAGTGAAAAAGGAGCACAATGCACTTTGAAAGGTTAAGTCACAGCTGTAACCTGATACCAGGTACCCGGAGACAAGACTAGGGATGTGTGTCCCCTTGGAGCAGCCATATTCTAGGTCAGGAACCAGATCTAGGCATCAGTTCACTTTTGCATTAGGTCCTAAGGCATATTATTATTCTTGTTTTCTCTTTTCTAGAGCACATCTTAATTTTATAACTGTGTATGTCTTTGTGAATTATTTAAAAATGTTTTAATTATACTGAAAAACACCACCACCACTGACACACACAAAAAAATCACCCATTAACCTACAGCCCAGAAATAACCACTGGAAAAATACTGGCTTCTATTCTTTATAGCTGAGTAGAAAGGCACATTTTTAAAAAATTTTTTCTTTACATAATGAGACTGATGCTATACATAATACTATCTTTTAACTTGTATTTTTTGCTTTGTATGTCATGGGCATTTGCCATGAGAGTATTATTATTTTTTTTTGCTAACATATAATTTTTAGGTATTATCTAGTATTCTAGGTGTCTACCATAATTTATTTAAATGATCCCTTATCATTGGATATTTAGGTTAGTTCCTATTTTCACTATTGAATGTTAGCCTCTAATGAACTCTGTCACATATAAAGTCTTGTAGGTATCTTAGTATCAAGTCCTATCATTGGAAATGCTCGGCATAGGAGGCACGCTGTTCTCCATCTCACTCATCTCTGCCTTGAGCTACCTAATCACTGAAGTGATGCCTTAGTGATCCTCTCTGCACAGCCTATTTTCTCAGACATTAGATAGTCCTCACAGGGAGACAGGTCCAACTCCAGGTGATATCTTATTTGCCCTGCTGCTAGGGTTAGAAGTTCAAGAAAATGTCTATGAGTAAGCAGCACTAATGTACTTCCAACCTGGCACTATGGACATTGTGAATCAGATCATTCTTTGTTGCAGGACTATCTGGCACACTGTAGAATGCTCAGCAGGATTCCTGGTCTCTACTGACTAGATCCCACTAACATCTCTCCAGTCCAAGTCCTAACAATCAAAAATGACTCCAGACATCACCAAATGTTCCCTGGGGGCAACACTGATCCCTGCTGAGGCCCACTGGTATACAATACTAACTAGTATTTATTAAATCCTGTATGCTCAAGGCACTCTCTCAAATACATCGTATTTCTTATCTTATTTAATCCTTAAAATAATCCGATACGGTATTCTTATTTCTGATTAACTGACGAGAAACGGATGCTGACTACCTTCTTTTGACTATCATAAGGGTAGAAGCTGAGATTCAAAGTGAGACCGTCCAACTTGAGAACTGTCCGTCACCCTGCAACCTGCTGCTTCTGCGTCTTCTACACATGAATGGAGGAGGGGTGGCTGCCATATCCAGACCTGAAAAGTTCCCACACTGAACCAAGGATTTTGATATTTTCTAGGAGATAAATAAGATATGACTCCCAGCTATATTACCATTCCTATAATGCTCCATTCCCAAATAACATATGGATGACTGGGCCCAGATGTATCCCAGGATGAAATGGGGTCATGCTTCCCAAAAACCTGACCCTTCAGGTGAGGTGAGCTAGGAGGTCTCTATCATCTATAATTGGCCCATACTTAATCAGTAGCAAAACATGTATGCAAAATAAATAAAATGCATTAAATCTAACATTAAGGGACATACTTCTCAAATGTTTTGCCAGTCTTTAAAAGTGACATAGGAATGTATTCGTTGAGTCCTTCCCCTTCGAATTTCAAATCCTGCATGAAATAAAATAGATATAAAATTAAATGGATTCAAAACACACTTGAAACATCTATGTAAAAGTTGGATTTTCTGATACCAGCTATGCTGACTCTCAAGATTAAGCTTCCCAGAGACAAATAAGAACATGAGAATTATACTTTTAACAATCACCTTATTATAGTATCTGATTTTTCTTACTTACCTAGTTACTTTTCAGCCAGAAAGGCAAAGGGAATAGCAAACAGCATTAAAAAAATAGGATGAATACTTCGATCCCAGGACAGCTTTCTCTGTCTTTTCCTGTTTTTATTTTCCTCTCTCTTTCTCACATTCACACACACGTCCCACAGTGGTATAGTTTTAGATTATCTACATGGACATATGGCTAGATGTGTAAGATGCTAGAGATGTTAATAATAATTTTATTCATATAATTTATTATTCAATCCACGGCATTTGGGGGAAAGGGGGAGAAACAATTATGCATGCTAGGATAACAGGCATGAACTTGCACTATGCAAACTATAATATAAAACTGTTAATAATACTATTAATAATAATCCTGTAAGGTTACATACAAGCAAATATCAACATTTTCAGTGAAGGTGAATGATGGGGGTGGGAGTACAGAGGGAGAGAGCATGCACTCAACATGGAAGCAGCAATCATCAATAACCTAATGTCAAAATGACACACCATGACTTCTGCTGTGTGCTTTGGTCACACATATCAATGCTGGTTCAACATAAGAGGGAGCGATACAAAGGTGTGAATAACAGGAGACCAAGATCACTGGTTCATAGCAGTTACGATATCCAGACAAGGAAATGTCAAAGGTTGTTTAATGAAGTCTCAAGTCCTGAGAATAATTCTCCACAGCTCTTGCCTCTACCTTCTGTACTCTTGGTTCTGTCATCTGAATCTTCCTTTTTTTCATGAAAGGTAGCACATCTTGGAAGCTAAGTCATTTTCTCTTAACTCTGGACCTTTCCTGCTGCCCATAGTACTAGGCAATCTTTTTTTTTTTTTTTTTAGAAGGGTCCCAAAGAGATCCTCCTCTTGTTTCCATCTTGGCTGTTTTTTCTCCTGTGGTCCCCTTTTTACGGTCCAAATAGGTGATTTTTCTGCTTGTATAATTCTTTTAAAAACTTTGTGGGTCTCCTACGAATCTTATTGGAGTCTACTATATTAGACAAAAGACAAATTTATAAATCTTTTCAAAAGAAGACAAGTCTTAGGGCTCCCACCAACAGGATGAAGGGCAATGCCCTTAAGCTCCCTAGAAATCCTACTGCTTGATTGAGAGGAACTGAGGCAACCCTTCATCTCTGTAGAATGCCTTGAGTCTCAATGAATACAATTCTGAGGCACTACCTTTGATATTTCTGAGGTCTTAAAAGATTTGATGGTGTGCTCTCAGCTTCATCCATGAATCATATTTATCTGGCATGTGATCTTTGCTCAGAAGCCACTTCTTCCTTTGAGCATTGTTTGCTATCTTGGGAAGCTGAGAATTCTTAAAACCATAAAGTCATTACTCATTTTATCAGTCCTTTCTTCAGTTTCTCTCTCTTCTCTCACATTTTGCTATAAGCATCAAAAAGAAACCAGGCAGTACTTGAGATTCTGTGGTCAGGGATCTCTTTAGCTAGGTCATCCAGGTTATAAAGCACATTTTCTACTTTTCACATAACTGCAAACGGCAGTGTTGCTAAACACTCTGACACTCCACAAAAAAGATTTCCTCTCCTCCATTTCCCAATGATATTTTCCTCACTTTCTTGAAAGCCCTCACCCCATTTCCTGAAGACCATAAGGTTTCCAGACACATCTTCTTCGAGTACTAGAAGCCTAACACTCTCCTCAAAACCCACTGTGCAGCTTCAATGCACTCCACCTCCAGGTGCCAAAATATACATTAGTAATTTATCACTTTATAACGCATTTCTCCAAAAATTAGACAGTTAAAACAACAAATCTCACATAATTTCTGGAGGTCAGAAATTCAAAAGCCACTTAGCTGTGTTTTCCTGGCTCAGGGTCTCTCATGAATCTGCAATCAAGCTAATAGCTGGGTGGGAAGCCAGGTCAGGGGTCAAATGAGGCTGCAGAATCTGTTTCCTGGCTGAGTCACGTGTTTGCTGGAAGGCCTCGGTTTGTGGCTATTGGCTAGAGGCTTTGGTTCCTTATCACATGGGCCTCTCCACAGGTTACTCACAGGATGACAGTTTACTACCCCGCAGCAAAAGATGAAATAGGTCTAATAGAAAGTTCTACACATATCCACAAAAAAGGACTAACACATTTACTGAGATGGGAAAGATAGAGGAAGTAATGAACAGGGTTTTGAGAGGTAAAAATGAAGCATCCCAATTGGACATGTTAAATTTGAAGTGTTTTTGAGATACTCAAATGAAGTGGTAAGTAGGAGTGAGATACATGGTTCTAGAAGAAAAGATCAGAGCCTTTGGCTATCACCAGCAACAATTACGTGTTGGAAATTAAGGAAATCACCCTGTAAGACACCTCTAAGCACAATTGTATGCATTATATTATTTATTTCTTTGTCTATGTTACATTATTTAATCCCCACAAAAACCCAATGATGTATATGCTTTAGTGTCATAATTATTTCATACATAAGTAAACTGAGGCTTACAAACCTTAAGGCATTTGCCCAAGGTTACAGTATGTGGTAGAAGCTAGAGTTGACTCTCTGTGATTCAGCTCTTATTCAGTGTGACTGGTCTTTCATGTAGTCATTTATTGCCTTCCTGGAAGATACATTCAGAGGGTAACAGATTTTTTGGTGTTTGGGTTTTTTTTTCACTTACTTGACCCCTATATATTTTCTATGACTAGGTCATAACAAGTCCCCTTGTGAAAACAATTAAAGGTTAAACAGTGGATGTATATGGCCCTTTGGAAACAAATAGAAAGGGCTAGATGGTAAAATCTTATTAAATCTTATGACATTTCCCTTTGTACCAATCATTTTCCAAAAAGGGTCAAATACAGCAAGCATGGTTTACAAAGAGAAATAACTCCTTTACCAAGCCAATTATTTGCAAATCTTCTCAAGTATTTGAGAAGCATCAATTTTTAGTGAACTAAAATGTATCTCTTCATTAAAGAAGATTTTATCACAAACTTTATTATGTAATAATTATTTCATGCAGCTTTAGTCATAGTTCCGCTTTTATATAAAGGTAATTCTTCTGTTATATAAAAATTGACTATGGAGTACTTTGCAGCCTGGACTTTCACTTATCAATCTAAATAAGTGATGGTTGACTGTAACTGGGGAACACAAAGGAAACAATTTGGCAAAAATTACCAGTAAATATTGTTGATCAACCAGAAATTAAGATAGTAATGTTCTACTTATTCATGTAACATCCAAACAAAATTCAAAGGATTCCTGGTTATCACTGAGGAAGTTAAATAGTGTTTTCCAAAATTACGTGTCTAGATTTCTTTAGCCTGGATCACCTTTTCCAACAGCAATATGAAGAAATGACACGGAGAGTGCAAGATTGCTCCAGAGGCTTCTTTCTTGAAAAGAAACAAAACAATCCCTCCAAATTTTGCCAGATTTCCCATAAATTGCTATAAATCCTATTTTTAATTCCTTAACTCTCTTTTGGACAAGCAGCAAAAATCATCAAAGAACAGATTAAGTTCTACAAACTAGGTGGTTGCTATTTTTCATTTCATCTACTATTGACTATTTCACTTGGATATTAATATTCATACTCATGATCTTCTTGTTTGTGGTAATGGCTAGTATGGGGTGAAGGAAAAAAGTAAAGGACATAATTCTAGTAAATATTCACTGACTACCTCTAATGTGCCAGGCATTAATCTAAGGACTTTACATGTACCAATCAACAGAATCCCCACATTAACCTTTCAGGTAGATATATTGTTATCTCCATTTTACAACCAACGAAATGGCAAGAGCAAGGGGACATCAGGCCTAGAGAGCTGACCTCCAAAGCATCGTACCTAACCCCTATATTAATGAGTTCTGAGTTTCATATTCTGATTATATTTTAGATAATTGAACAAACTCTATTCCAAAACAATGGTCTGTGTGCAAACATATAGGAAATCATCCCCACACTGCAATTACTTATTTAGAAATAAAAATAACCTAACCCTATATGGAAAATTATTTCTTCATTGGAACTCCTATCAAATTCATTAAGCCTCAGTAAATATCAAAAACAGTAATATTAAAATTATCTTTGAATTCAATGTCAATTCTTCAATTTTCTTGTTAAAACTAAAAACATACATGAACCATGCTATCAAGCAATGTAAACAACATATTTCAGTAAAATATTGTATAACAATAGATAAGAATCTGAATTTCTATGTAGAAATGCTCTCCTTTGTCAATTAAACTTTTTTTATTTTTTCATTTAAATATTTTAATTTTCTCTCTATTTAAAAAAAACACATTTAAGTACACAGGTAATAGCAACTTTTATACTTGTCAATCTAATATATATCAAGGATACACATGTGTGGTATAATTAATAACTCTACTACAATGATTGAAAATGTGTATATGTGATTGAAATAAAAATCCAAAGTTTATATCACAGACAAGACTAGATTGTTTCCTTTGAAGAGTAAAACCCTATGAAATAATTCCCCTTAAATATAGCCTCTGTGTTATATGGTTAACAGCACTCACAAAGTAACTTAGATTGAAGAATTAACCTGATAATCATCAAGCTAAAGAATAAATTGCAATAAAGCCTTGGAAAAACTTAAATAGTTGCATTTCCACCAGATGAAAGGAAGTATGTTTACCCAAATCCATAAGAATGTTCAGGACACTTAACGCCTACGGGCGTTTTTCATTCCTAGATGTTTGGAGTCTGGCCTGGAGAAGGAGAAAGAAAAGTTCTAATTGTCAAAAGTTTTTATAAGAGGCTAACTAAAACAAAGTTTGTCTAAAATAGAGTGTTATTGACTGGAGAAATAGTCTCAGGACATGGTGAGAATTGCAAACTTTAGGACTTTTTTCTAAGTTTTAAAAAGTTCCAGCAATCCCTTAATTTAAAACAGCTACAAGCAATTTGATAATAAGTATCAGAATTAAAACTGAAGAAGGATTAAAGATGGCTGCGTAGATATAGCTGGAATTTGCTTCTTCCACAGAGAGGAAAATATGAAGTTCCTTCACACTTTCAAAAGATCTTTTGAGAGAAAATCC